TTTTTTTCTTTTTTTTTTTTGCCGTGAACCACTGAGTTAGCCCTGACTGCAAGCCAGCCTCGGTGTTCCCTCCACCCCACCCCACCCCACCCCACCCGCCTCCTACCGTGGTGAGGGGTGCCAGGTACAATTTGCCACCGATGTCCAGCTGGAGGGAAAAAAAAGCACAATGAAGCCCAACCCTCCTACCCGAGATCTGAGGCCTCTCGCACCTCCTCTCTTCCGCTGATCTGGGTCATGCCGTGTCTGGCCCCACCCGGCCTGGCTCTCTTTAGCTTCAGGAGCTCTGCACATGCCAAGCCCTCTACAAGGAATGATTTCTCCCACTTCTACTCTATTGGAGAGCTCCTACTCAATCGTCAAAGCCCCAGTCCCAATGCTCCCTCTTCCCCACTGCTCTCCCTGTCCCAGCCCTGGCCTCTGGGATTGGGCATGTGTGGCCAGCTCTTTCCAGCCCCCAGGCTGGGGCTTCTTGAGGGCTGGGCCCAGCTCGGAGCACAGAAAGGGAGTCTCAGCAGGAACACATACACGCTTCTTCTCACAGGGCCGCAGCCTGACTATGTCCTCGTCCGTCAGGGGGCCGCAGGTCTGCACAGGGCTGCTGGGAAGGGCAGTGGCGTCTGGCCCTGGAAGGGCCTGCTGGGTGTCACCATCGCCCTGCCCTGGAGCACCCTCAGCCACGGCGGCCTCAGGGGTGGCAGCAGCAGCAGCAGCGGGGACGGGGCCCGGTGGTTGGCCCTGGCTTAGCTGGCGCAGGGCCCGCTCGGCCCGCTCGAAGCGGACTTTGCGCTTACGCAGCTGCTGCTGCAGGGCCTTGTCCAGGCTGTTGCGGATGGGTGGGATGTGGGCCCCTCGGGCTGCCAGCTCCTCCCGCACCAGGTTCTGGCCCTCAGGCCCCAGGTGGGCCCCGGCGAAGCGGCAGGTCACGCCATAGGGGCATCTGCCAAAGGTCTCAAACAGCACGCAGCAGGGGCCCAGGTCAGCGGGCTTGGTCTCCAGGTACCGGCCCACGTCATGCAGGAAGCGGCAGCGGTCACCAAAGAAACACCTGGCTTCTGACCCCTGTGGGAAAATGGGGGTGTGTGTCTGAGGGAGAACAGGGAGGGGCTGGGGCAGGGGGACAGCCTGAGTCTGAACCCTGCCACCTTCCTGGCTGTGTGTCCCTGGGCAAGTCAGTAACCTCCCTGTGCCTCAGCTTCTTCATCTGTAAGATGGGAATAACAATACCTATGTCATGACATCACCAGGACTGAATGGGGGACAGAGAGGCACATGCTGAAGGCCTCCAACTTTCTAGCACTATTACCCCAGTGTAGACCCCCATGTGGCCACACGCACCTGGACCAGGGAGGGGCAGAGCTTGTTCTCGTCATAGTGGGTGGGCTTCAGGTGGGGCCGGCTCTTGTTCTGGCCTCGGGCCCTCCTCTGAGCCGGACGCTGCTCCCGGAGCTCAGCTGCCTCCTCTGTCTGTCCAGCCTCCGTCTGTCCAGCCCCCGTCTGCTCAGCCCCCGTCTGCCCATCTTCCATCTGCCCATCCTCCAGCCGGACCCGCTTGGCCTCAGGCTCTGCCAGGTCATGGCCATCAGGTTCTACAGCCTCAGTTTCCCGGGGGACCTTCTCCCGCCCTCTGGCTTCCAGGAATTCGTGGAACTGCTCCTTGGTGGTGAGGTACCTGCGAGCGAAGACGGCAGGGAAAGGAGGGTTTGTCCAGGGAGTCCGTCTTCTGAGCCCAGACTCAATGAACACTGAGGAAGGGAGAATGAGAACCCTCGCCCCTACACAAATGCTCGCGCTGACGGTGAGTTTCACCACTTAGAACGAGCCAGCTCCAGCCTGGGAGCACCTCGAGGCCATAGGAGAACCTGTTTTATCCCTGAGTCATCAATGACCAGAGTTTGTTGAGCTAAACTACAGATATCAGTGATGACCACCCTTGGCCACGTTAAACCCAGGAAAAACTACAAGCCCCAGCATGCTTTGCAACGCGGGCCACAGCCGCCACATTTCCCATCACACCCTTTAGCTCCTCCTTCAAACACTGCAAGCCCCAGCATGCACTGCGGCTTTCCCCTCAAACCCCGCCTATCCGGCATGTCCTGAAGCGTCCTTCGCGCATGTGACAGCCCACAACGTGCGCTACATCAGGTCCCACGGCTGACCCTCCGAGACGAAGGAACTGCCCGAACTGAAGAGCCTGCGAGCTTCCCGCCCCGCTGCCCCATCTCCCGGCATGCACCACTTGCGCCACCCTACGGGTGCCGGGAAGGACCGAAGGTTCACCCGGCTCCGGCGACTTACTGAGGTTTAATGGGGGCTACTCCCCGATCTGGCGTTCTGGTTGCTGAATCGCCACTGCCGTCTGCTGCGGCCTCCTCTGCCGCCCCCTCTGCCATCGGCCCCCCTCACGCTTGCTCCAGAAAGTGGCAGGAAAGTCTTCCGAGTCGCGCGCTTCTCTGCCTGGTCGTGCTGGACAAACACGCATGCATCGGTCGCTCCATAGACGTCATTGTGCAAGCGTCGATGAGACGGGGCAGGGCCTGTCTGGGGGCGGGGCCTCGAGTCCCAAATCCTTCGGAGCCGTTTAAAACGGGCTGAAGTGGTCAGTTATCCGCAAAAGTATCGCAAACTGGCGGTCGGTGCAGTTCACTCAGAGAAGTGTTGTTTTCCTGCTGGCATTTTTGAGAAATTAAATTCGACTGTTCTTAAGCTCACTTTCATTCAACAAATAGTTTGTTTAGCTGTCCTAGATGTTGGGGATACAGCTGAGTGCAACACAGACAAAAATCCCTGCGCTCAAGGAGCTCACATAGGCAAGAGGCAGACAGACAATAAACATAATACATAAGTGCATTGTACTGATGTTAAATGGTAATGAAGCAGGAAAAGAGGCTTGCGGATATCACTTTTAGTAGATAAATAGGGTGATCAGGAATGGCTTCACTGAGGAGGTGACATTTGAGTAAATACTTGAAAGAAGTGAGAAAAAGAGCCATAGGGGTATGGGAGGAAGAAGTGTTCGGGGTAGAGTGAACAGCCAGTGCAAAGGCCCTGAGGCAGGACCAGGCCTGGTGAGTTGGAGAAACAGCGAGGAGGCCCGTGTGGCTGGATCGAAGTGAACGAGGGGAAGAAAGGAGGAAGGGAGAGCAGGGAGGGGACCAGACAGGTCGTGAGGGCCCTGTGGGCCTCAGGAGGACTTGGGCTTTTACCCCGAGGGAGGTGGGAGCCCTGGAGGGCTGTGAGCAGAGGAGGGCAGAATCTGTGCACTGTTTGCCACAGTCCCCACCATGCCCTGTTGTGCCCCTAAAGCTCTCTGTTCCTGGAGAAGGCTCTGTGCAGCACAGGAAGCTCAGGGCTTTGGATTCAGCCTTATGGGTTCAAATTCCAGTCCCTCCACTTACCAACTGAGAACACTGGGCATGTCATTTTACCTCTCTGTACCTCAGTCTCCTCATCAGTAAAATGGGGCTGATCAAAGAATCTCCTTCGGAAGGTGAAAACTCAATGAGTAACAATCACTTTTAACTACTACTGTTGTTATTGCTTTGCTATTATTATTTGCCCTGAACTATCTTCAGGAACAGCAGGAACACAGCTCAGGATGAGGAGGACCAATCCCTCAGCGGCTCTTGCATTTTGTTGCTGATCTTGACAAAGCTTCCCCTGGGGAGGAGGTCCAGGGAGGGAAGGGACTTGGGCTGAGGCTATAACAGGCCCGTTGTTAGATGCCGATGCCGACGAATCGATTCCAACTCCTACTGACCCCATGTGACCAAGTAAAACTGCCCCATAGGGTTTTCTTGGCTGTAATCTACAGGAGCAGATCGCCAGGTCTTTCTCCCTTGGAGCTGCTAGGTGGGTTCAAACCGCCAATTTGTTGGTGCGCAGCCGAGCGCTTAACCATTGCGCCACCACAGCTCCTTACAACAGGTTGGAACCAGCTTTTTTACAAGACCTGGGAGAAAACAGGGGAGCATCTCTGGCCTCGGCTGCCCTCTGTAGGACAACCTGGGAATCAAATGTTGGAATCGCGGAATCTAAAACCGGAGGTCCTAGTGAGACTTCTTGTCCAGCCTCACTTGCACACCTCCAGGGACAGGAAACTCACTCTTCCCTTTCGAGGTGCCCGCCCTGTTGTCCTCTGAAGTTCTACCAGTGTTCTCCCCTGGATGTCTCATAGGTACCCCAGACTCCCCACTCTGGGGAGACAGCGGGACAGGTGGAGAAACCAGCCCACAGAGGATTTATCTTGCTGTGTGGCCCCAGGAATGTGGTCTCCCCTCTCTGGGCCTCAGTCTCCAAGGAGCGATCTCCCAGGACTCCCTGGCTCTGCCCTTCGATGGCCCCACTCCCTCTGTGTAAGGCAATCCAGAGAGGCTTCCTGAAGGAGGGAGGCTGTGGACTGGTCATTGAGGAGCGTGGTATTAACAGCCTTTAGTATGGATTGCATCTCAACATAACAAAAATCCTCACAACTGGACCAATAAGCAGCATGATGATAAACGAAGAAAATATTGAAGTTGCCAAGGATTTCGTTTTACTTGGATCCACAATCAATGCCCATGGAAGCAGCAGTCAGGAAATCAAATGATGTATTGCAATGGGCAAATCTGCTGCAAAAGACCTTTTTAAAATCTTAGAAAGCAAAGATGTCAATTTGATGACTACGGTGTGCCTGATCCAAGCCATGATCACCTCATATGCATGCAAAAGCTGGACAATGAATAAGGAAGACTAAAGAGGAATTGGCGAATTTGAATTGTGGTTTTGATGAAGTATATTGACTATACCATGGACTGCCAGAAGAACAGACAAATTTGTCTTGGAGGAAGTACAGCCAGAATGCTCCTTAGAAGCAAGGATATCCCGACTTCATCTTCCTTACTTTGGACACGTTATCAGGAAGGACCAATCCCTGGAGAAGGACGTCATACTTGGTAAAGCAGGTGTTGTTAGGTGCCGTCAAGTCGGTTCCAAGCCATAGCAACCCTACGTACAACAGAATGAAACACTGCCTCGTCCTGCGCCAGAAGGTCATTGAAAAAGAGGAAGACCCTCCATGAGATGGACTGACACAGTGGCTGCAGCAGTGGGCTCAAACACAGCAACAATTGTGAGGATGGCGCAGGACTGGGCAGTGTTTCATTCTGTTGTACGTAGGGTCACTTGATGGCACCTAACAACAACAACAATTATTGAGCACTTACTGCATACCAGGCCATGCTCTAACTCCTTTTTGTGTCTTAACTCAATTCATTCCTCACTCTCAGCATGTGAGGTGAGAACAGATGTTCACCCTAGTTCCACCCAAACCTGGGAGCTGCAGAGGGGCCCCTGACACTACTCATCTCCCTTCAGTAGCCCCAGACACCCCCAGCCTCCAGGGAGACCTGTGCTGCCCACATGAGAGTTGTCACCTGCTGTGTCCCCAAAAGTCCCCACCTCATGACTCCAGCCATCTCCTGGGCATCTCTCCCAGGTCCCCACACCCAGGCGGGCCAGACGGGACTCAGCTCATCCCCCTATGCTGACCCTCCTCCCCTGCCCCCTCGCCTAGGGGCTGCTCTCCCTCCCCCTCCCCCATTGTCCCCCCCCTCCAGGCCGCCATCTCTCTTGCCTGAATTTTGTCCAAGTCTCCCCACAGCTCCCTCCCCTGCTCCCAGCCCTTCTGTGGCTCCCCATTGCCCCAGCCCCACACCCCAGCTGCCAAGTGTGTGACCCAGCACCTGCTGCCCTCCCCAGCTCCACCCCTCATCACCCCCTTACTCCTTAAGCTCCAGCCACACCAAGTCCATTTCAGATTGCCCATGGACCCTGGCCTTACCTCCAAGCCTTTCCACATGCTATTCCCTCTTCCAGGAACACTGTTCCCTGCTCCCAGACACCTTGCTCATTCCCCCACCCCCCCAGTGCTCAGCTTACAGGTCACGTCCTTCTCCTCTGGTCACCTGCCTGACTGCCCCTGCTTTGGGAGGGACCAGTGCCCCCCTGAAGCTCTGCAGCTGCCTGGGAGTCCCCCCTCCCAGGACCCTCAGCAGTCTGTGCTGGGGCCACCGCCAGTGATCTGGAGCCTAGAGAGGGCAAGAGCCGGGTCTGCCTTGGCCACTCCGTGTCCCCAAAGCCCAACACCAAGCCTTGCACACAGTAGGTTCTCAAGAAACACTTGCTGAGTGAGTAAATCATATCATGGCTGGGGAAACTGAGGCATGGAGGGGGCAGAGCCTGCCCTAGGGGTCCCATCTTCACTGAGGCTGTAGCAAGGGGCTTCCCGTGAGCACCTGATCAGCTCTTGTTGCCACTCCAGGGGGTGGGGTGACATCGAAGGAGAATTCTAGACCTTGACCGGCACCTTGGATGCGGGAAGGAGGCGGGGGTGCGGCCAACCCCCAGCAGGTGGGGAGACCCAGGCAGCCCGGTGGGTGGGACAGGGTGGGTGGGACAGGGGCTGCCTTTTTCTCTCTCTCAGGTACTTTTATTCTTCCTATTGCTGTCTCCAAAGCTTGTGTTTTCTGTGTCTCTGTCTCTCCGTCTCTGTCTCTGCATCTCTCGTCCCCTCCGTGTCTCTGTCTCTCACTGTCTCCCCCTCTCAGTCTTTCTCTCTTCTCTCCATCTTTCTCTGTCTCTCTCCCTCTCTCTCGATCTCTCTCTAATTCTGTCTCAGTCTCTCTCTCTCTGTCTCCCCCTCTTAGTCTTTCTCTCTCCCTGTTTCTTCTCTCTCTCCATCTCTCTGTCTCTGTCTCACTCAGTCTGTCACTCGGCCTCTCACTGTCTCGCCCTCTTAGGCTTTCTCTTCCTCCCTCTGTCTTTCTTGGTCTCTGTCTCTCAGTATCTCTCAGTCTTTGTTTCTCTGTCTCTGTGCATCTCTGTCTGTCTCTCCCTCCCTTTCTTTCTCTCTCTGTCCATCTCTGTCTGTCTCTCTCCCTCCACATCTGTCCCCCTTGATCTCTCGCTCCCTCCCTCTCTCCCTCTCTCTGTCTCTCCATCTAACTCCCTCCCTCTCTCCCTCCCCCCCCTCCACCACTGCTGGCGGCCCTGCCTCCTGTCCGCCTC